ATAAACTTTCTGTGAAAACAATTTAACCCTGTGAGCAGTATTAATCATTCACTAAAAACACACTGAAATGCTTTGAAGACAATTCAAGACAGCTAAAACATACACAGTGAAAAGTGTACACACTTGTGTTAAAATGCCAGAAAAAATAAGAGCACAATAAATCATTTCAAAACCTTTCTTATCTTTGATGTGACATATAAACCAAACAATTCAAATTAAAAAACAAACAAATATGTTACAGGAAAAAAATTTTTTTTAAAAACTAAACAATACAATGAGCTTATTGCATAAGTGTAGACACCCTTTAAGTAATGCTTGGTTGAAGCGTCTTGAGTAAACACGCCCCCCCAATCAATTTAAAAGACTCTGATTAACCCCAATTAAAGTTCAGCTGCCCTGGGAGGATTTTCTTGGCATTTACTCAGTTGTAAGAAAAGTCATGTTTTGTAAAGAGCTTACAAAGCATCAAAGGGATCTCACTGGTGAAAAGTATCAGTTACTACAAAAATAAAAATACAAAAATAAGGCCGGAGAAAATATGGGACAACACTGACATTGCAAAGAACTGAATGACCCCCCTAAAAATTAATTCAAAGATGAAAACTGGTCAGGGAGAATTTCAAGAGACCAATAGTAACACTGAAGAAGCTGCAGAAGTAGAAGTATTGACAGAAGTGGTCAATACTTGGTTTGGAGCATATCTGATTTATGAATATGAAATTTTCCTACAAGCAGCAAAAATTGAATGCAGTATGTTAGGTTTTTAATTATCATTTCCTCAGTTTTTGTCCAATATATTGCTGTACATCATTCCAAAACATTTTGACACACACACACACACACAACAAGAATAATTAATATCGAGGGTCAGTGTTTGTCCTTTATAGGAATATTGCTTTTTAGTGACACTGCCTTCACAAATCAGCATTGGTAATTTATTCCATTTGACTGGTTGGAGAGACATTATGCTTGCATACAAGATTCCACACTAGAAGAGCTTGTTTATGAAAACTAGAACATTTCACAGGTAGCTTCTCTGTTTTATAATCAATATTTAAGCAAAAATGTAACCCCACCCATCAAACATGGTAAAACATGGTTTAGAAATGTGTTCCAAAACATATCTTTGACACTGAGTAAGTTGGTTAACCATTTCGCTTTAAATGAATTAGTTTGCATTATGAAACTTAAAGGTTTAGTGTGCACGCATATTACTCCGCACCCAATTACGTAATACGTCTTCCTCTTAAAAACAATAGTCCACTCAATGAGTAAAAACATAGTAATATCTCACGAATATTTGCAACAACCAAAAACGATCAAGTGATTATTAGAAATAAAATGTTGAAGTTAATAAAAAAAATATTAAGACTGGTTAAAACAAAAAGCTCCGTTTTGAATAAAAACAATAAATAAGATCCGGTTGCACGGACAGGAAGCGAGGAGATACTCATGGTGCCCGACTAGAATGAAGCAACAATTATCGGTTAGTAACTTCTGTTCGAATTAGCGCCTCCACACCAAAGGACACCCTACTACTCGAAAATATACGGTAAGAAAAAAGAGCTGCGATTCTCCTGCCGAAGATGGAAATTGTTTTTATTTTCTTCAGGGAGAGAATTTGGGCGGTCTGCCGCAGCGGAGGCCCTCGAGGTCCCCAGTAGAGCTTTCAGAATGCCTGAATGGAAAAGTGGGTTAGTTGGTATAAAATGGCGACGCGGAGCAGGCAGGATGAAGGGCAGCTAGGCCCGTTTAAAAAAGGCTAACGCATGCTATTTTGCATCACGTAACACCCGATATGGCGACTTAGCAGAAGCATTTAGGTTATAACTATACTGTGCTGCTCAAACACAAGTTCTATGATTGTAAGTGTCGGTTGTTAGCCCCACAAAAGCCCGACGTTAAGCGAACAGCAGTGCTGGTTAGCTATATGGAAGCTAGCCAGTTAGCTGTTTTGGTCGTGAGCAAGTTTATAAAAAACTTTGTTCCTGGGTCTTCAACAAATTATGATAGTGTGAAAATCACAAGAGTTTCTTTCCCTGAATCAAGATACCCATGAGATTTACTAAAAATTAAGAGTCAAAAGATACGATGTTAACAGAAGCAAAAGGCTTTGGGGTAAATGCTCAGAAACAAACTCACTTGCACGTAATGCCTTTTAGTTAAACTGTGTAACAATATCAAGCACTGCAGTGGTTGCTGCAATGGAAAGCTACTACAGTACACATTATCTGAACATAGTCTGCTATAACAAATGAAGTCATATTTAACTCTAACCAGTAAAGAAGTATAAAGTTTATGAAAACTAACAATCTATCGGAACTACACCTAAGTAAACTATTAGTGTGCACTGCTCAGTTTGGTCTTTCCAACTAAATGCAAACTATAGAGAGTTCAATCTGACCTTGGAAACAGAGAAGTGACCACAAAACCTTCAGAGGTCATTTAGAGTTGGCTCTGTTTGTTGACAGGAGTTAGGCAGTATACAAGTTATGATCCACTGCAACAGCCTTATTCAGCAAATACACTCTTACTTAAATACAGTTGATAAAGTTAGACAATTTTTTTTCAGCCCCTAATGTCCGCAGGTCTTACTGGTTTTAAAGTTATGAAATACGCTGCTGTTTAACTCCATATAACATAGCTTAGAGTGTCTATATTTTAAAAACAAATAGTGAGCTTCCCTCCCACTTAAACTATGTGCACGTTGCATATATCTATATATACAGCACTTGTATGCATATTCAAGGTATGTTTAAGAGATGACACCTTAGATTTACAGTAGAGTAGTATAGTAGTGTAGATCTATTTTGTTTGGAAAATAGAAATAGGTGGAGTAGTTTGGTTAATTTTTTTTGTTTCATTCTTGTGGATAGTTATGGATTTGGAGGAGAATGAGGTGGAGAGCAGCAGTGATGCAGGTCCCTCAGGGATGGAGGAGCCATCTGAAAGCGGCATGGGAATGGAGTCATCAGAGGCGATGTCTGCAGACAGCAGTGATGCTGCTGCTTCTCATGCACAGGCCCCAGAGTCTGACTGCCATGTTGGACAGAGCTCGGAGGGACTTGTGGTAAGTTAAAAATACAGTGTGGTTAAACAAAACAAAATAAAATAAAACAAAAAAACAACAGCGATGAATGTAGCTTTTTAATCTATAAGTTTCCAGATGTCATCCTTTCTTTCCCTCACTCTTAAGGTGTTCATCCCAGAAACAAGCTCTAGCACAGATGTCAGAGTTTCATCGGTCCATCTTCCAGACTCCTCTTCAGTGGCCCAGTCCACCAGTGTGTCCAGTGTCTCCACGGTGACTCAGTCGGTGCTTGTGTCTGAGTCAGCTCAAGTGCTGGTCCACTCGAGTGCTGTCTCTGAAGGGGCTATGATGGTTTCTGACTCAACTGCTTCTACCTCATCAGATCTGGGGTCTGCCATTGACAAGATCATAGAATCCACCATCGGCCCCGATATCATGAATGGTATATGTTTTTAATGACTCTTCGTTTTCCATCATGTCCTGACAAGAGAACGATGAACTTGTCTTATGTTGAAAACTTTATGGCATGAGATTTTATATCTTTTTCTTTTAGGTTGTATAGCTGTGACCAGTGCAGAAGATGGGGGTGCAGAAACAACCCAGTATCTAATACTACAAGGTCCAGATGACGGTAAGTGGGGTGTTCCTGCTAACTTATCATCTTTCAATTGGCCAGAATAATTTAAAATAATAATTCTGATAAATGACTCTTATATGTTTTATATTTGTTTACAGTGCTTGTAAATGTCATGTATGTATGAATTGAATGCTTTAATTTGATCTTTATCCACTAGCAAAATAATTTTTACATTAGAAATGTGTTTATATTTTAAAGCAATATACATTTATATTGTTATACTTAAAATCTGTTTAGGCTGATGACAACAAAGTTAAACAAAGTTCAGGAATATTTTTTTTAATCATTTCCTTGTTTATTGGTGCAGGTGCTCCTATGGTAGCTCAGATGTCATCTTCTGCCCTGTCCAATCGTATAGCAATAGAAGCTCTTGCCGAAGGTCCCACATCCACCTGTCTTGACCAGAGAGACCTGCAAGGCAATGTTGAGCCTGACCAGCCCGATGATCAGCCTGGACATTCAGGTTACTTAGAAGACAGCAGCAGCCAGCCTGACCAGCCACAGCACTCCCACCCCTCCCAGTACATGGACTGCAGTGCAGATGGTCCAGACCAGACAGAGGAATCTTCATCTTCCTATGTGGAGTGTTCAGGCGAGGAACCTGACCAGACACGCTCCCGTTCAGGCTTCCCTGACTATAGTGGGAATAACAGTGACCAGGATCTGCCTGGTTATGTGGGGTGCAGTGGAGCTGACTCAAATCCTACCAGCCGAAGTCACTATGTGGTGGAGTGCAGTGCTGGGTATCCTGGGCGTGCAGTGGATGACGGGGAGCGGCCACATCATTCACGCAGTTACATTGACAGTAGTGCAGATCACCGGACTCAGACAAGTCGTCAGTATGCGACTGAGTATGGTGGGGAATGTGTTGTAGCTGCAGACTCTGAGCAGCCAGGTTGTTCTCGTTACCAAGCGGAGGACGACGATGATGAAGATGATGATCAGAACCAGGATCCAGATCAGCCACAGCACTCTCAACAGCAGCCCCAGCACTCCTGTTATATGGAGAGCAGCAATGGCCCAGAGGCTTCTCTCTATACTGACGACAGTTCCTCTTCAGACCATCCTCTGGCAGACACGGCAGGTTCAGGTGGGCTTCCAGAGGCACTGGAAGGCAGCGAGAGCCAGCCGGGCCCATTCATCAGCAGCAGTGGGACCTATACCTCTAATGCAGAACCTGAGCTGGCCCAGCACTGCTCACCCAGCAAAGAGGAGCCCCAAGGCTCTCAGGATGAAGCTGGGCTCGGCAGGGACATGGAGACATCAACTGTAGCAGAAGGCTCTGGAGAACGACCACCAAACCTGGCTGAGTTAGAGGAAATGATGGAGGTAGTGATCGTGCAGCAGTTCAAGTGTAAAATGTGTCCATACAAGAGTGCCTCCAAAGATACTCTTATCAACCACATGAGAGACAAACACTTCAAACCTGCAGGTAAGCTAGCAGAATAATAGCCATGACATTGTTATCTCACCAAGCTTGGTAGTATATAGATAAAATGTCTTTTCTTTTTTTTTTCTTTTTTTTTTTTTTACAATTTTAGGGGAAATGCCAAAGAAGCGTAAACGTGGACGACCTCCTAAAAGTGAGACCTTAGCCCGTCAAAAGGCAGAGAGGGAGGAGGCAGCAAAGATGAAGGCCGCAGAGTCCCAGCAAGCAGCAGAAGAAGAGGAGGATGACGTTGTGGATGATGGTGCTATTGATGATCCTGAAAGTTAGTGAAACAGACATAGATGTAATATGCAAATTTCTGTCTTTGAATAGATTATAAAATTAATACTTTTCTTGTTAATGAGCATTTACTCAATCACATAGCTCTCACTGTCATTTCCACTTATCCCTCACACTGATTAAAAATAATCTGTCTCCAGAGGACAGCGACTACAACCCAGCTGATGAAGATTCCAAAGGAAGACCACCTGCCATTCTGAAAAAGTCAGCAACTCCCACTTCCTCCTCCTCTTCTCCTCAAGGGCGTCCCCGACGTAAAGCTGGCCGTCCAAGGAAGTACTCAGTTGTAGATGAAGGCTACAGCAGCAAAGGTGAGTTTTCAGCCTATCACTGCGAGCCTAGAGAGCCTACATGCAAAACTTTAGGCAAATATATTCTCCTTTTTCCACTTTTGTTGCAGAAGCAGAAAGTATTGCTAAGAAGCCTAGGGTTTGTTCGGATGCTAATGAGTCTGAAGAGGCAAGCTCTTCAGGCCTAGACAATAGTGCACCCACGGTGACTGATGGAGATGCACCTGAGGCAGCAATTAGCCAGTCAGACTCTGAGAACAAAGATCCTTCATCCAACCAACGGACGGAGGTGGAGTACTTCCCAAGAAAACGTGGCAGACCATCCCGGCGCTTCCTTCGCAAGAAATATAAGAAGTATATGAATCGGAAGTAAGTCTTTTTAACATTTTATTATAAATTCCATTAAAATATTTTAGAATGCACTAATTTCTTCTTTCTCTTTGTTATCTCCCAGTCGGCACTACAAATCTCTAAAACCACTGCTGAGACCTCACAACTGCTACATCTGTGGGTCACGTTTCCTCACTCTAGAAGACCTGCGCTTCCACATCGACTCACATGAAGGCAATGATCCGGAGCTCTTCAAGTGCCTGCAGTGCAACTATCGCTGCAAGCGCTGGTCCTCGCTCAAGGTCAGTTGCAATAAAACAGATCACAACACACTCAAGTTAACCTCAGTTTATTTGCATGTTTCCACAGTTTCCTAAAACATTTTTTTTTTACAGGAGCACATGTTCAACCACGAGGGCACCAAGCCATTCAAATGTGAGGAGTGTGATTACACAAGCGTGTACAAGAAAGATGTTATTCGGCATTCGGCAGTCCACAACAAAGAGCGGTATGAGCGTCGCAACTGTGGTCAAACTCAGTTATTCCTGAAAAAGAACATGTTCATAAAGTTTTCTGTTGACGATATAACTGATTATTTCTCTTTCCTCTTGCAGGAAAAGGAAGACAGAGTCGGTAAGAATTTATATTTGAATGCCATCTACAATACTTATTGGCATATATGTGGTTTAAGAATAATTCTACAAAATAATCTGACAGAATTTCAGTTTCTGTTGTTGCTGGTTGCTACTTACTGTAAGAGGTCGGCATTGTGATTTTTAGTCTGATTATTGCAGGTGCCGAAGGCGTCGGAGTTCCCCTGCCCTGTGTGTCACAGGGTGTATCCCATGCAAAAGAGACTTACTCAGCACTTAAAAACCCACAGCTCAGAGAAACCACACATGTGCGATAAGGTCAGAAAGAGGATTATGCAGTTCAAGAACTATTCTTTTCATATTCTTATCATTTTAAATTAAGTATGGCAACTCAAACAAACAAAAAACAGGGTAATCTCACTATCTCACAGAGGTGTGTCACCAGTACTAATGAATATTCTCTCCTGCTTTCTTCTTCCACTAGGAAGTTCGCTTACTTTCTTGTTTAAGATGCCTTTCTGTCTTTGCAGTGTGGAAAATCCTTCAAGAAGCGTTACACTTTCAAAATGCACCTCCTAACCCACATCCAGAGTCTTGAGGACAACAAGTCAGTACTCAGACTTCTATTCCTCCTCTTTTACTCTGTCATCTACCAGTCAGTCTTCTTTTAAAAACAAGGCTATCACAATAGTTAATAGTTTTTGCTCGAATAAGTAATTTAGGTGTGAGTGTGACATCATAACTAATGCCCCTCTGGTGTTAATGTGACAGGTTCAAATGTGAGTTTTGTGACTACACTTGTGACAACAAGAAGCTGCTGCTCAACCATCAGCTGTCCCACACCAACGACAGGCCTTTTAAGTGCGACTACTGTAAATACTCTACTTCCAAAGAGGAGTTTCTCGTCTCCCATCTGGCCATCAAACACACAGGTCAGTGCAGCAGAAAGACAATAACGCTAAATTTAAACAGCTTGAGTTTAAATTCACCTATTGAATTCACTTATTGATGTTGTGTGTTTTTTTTAAATTTCTCCAGGCGAGAAGCCTTTCTCCTGTGATATGTGTCACTTCATGACTAAGCACAGGAAGAACCTGCGCCTTCATGTGCAGTGTCGCCACGCTGAGGCATTTGAAGAGTGGTCTTTGGCTCACCCTGAAGAGCCTGTAAAGACACGGCGTAGACCTTTCTTCACCCTGCAGCAAATAGAAGAGCTGAAACAGCAACATGAAGACACACAGAGTTTGCAGAACACTATTGTAAGTTTGATTTGTTGTTATCTTGTGTTACTTTTATGCCAATGGAGGGTGAGAAGGGAAAAAAACATGAAAATAACAAAATAATGAGATTGTATGTTTTTTTTTAATTTGTAAATGTCCATATGCATGAAAATTCAGCAATTTGCAAAATTTAGACATATTATTTACTCTTAAAGAATAACCATAGTTTTTGTTTTATTTTTTCTTTCTGTCTTTATTTCTTTTTTTTAACATGATCTTATTAGGTCACTGTGGATTCTGCAACGCTGCAAGCCATGCAGGGCATGGAAAACGCCTCAGTGTCCCAGGACGCTTTGGGAAACACCACGATCATCTATGAACAAGGTCAGTAAGGATTTCTCTGAAAACATATTAAATATTTATGGTGTTATATATAACCTGAATGACAAGCTCTGAACTTTTCTCCATGTGCTTCTCATCAGCTGAATCCAGCGACCTATCTGCTCAGAATGCCCTGGACCTACTGCTGAATATGAGCAATGCACGGGAGCTGGTTAGGAACTCCTTACAGGTCAGCTCATCAAAATTTCAGAACGGTTACATGAAAGATAGCATTGTATTCTATAAAATAAACGAACAAAAAAATAATAACAGTAAAATATATCTTGATTGTTTTTCACAGGTAGCAGTGCTGAAGTCAGATGGAAAAGCTTTGGAGAAGGGAACATGGAGCACGGTGACAGCAGCGTCCGGTCAGGCCCAAAAGATCTTGACCTTCCATGTTTCTGAGAATGGCGAGACAGTGCTACAAGAGGCCTACGAGGCTGCCACCTCTGAAACAGGCGAGCTTACCCACATCGCCATTGAAGGCTATGAGGGGGGAGGGGACTTCAGTGTGGTGGAGCAGGCAGCTGAAGAAATCCGTAGTCCTGGATATAGCTAACATAGCACACACAGTCCAATTTGTAGCTTATGTTCAAATATTTCATAAGCAAGAGATTACTTTCATATTAAGGACATTTTGGTGTCTCAGCAGTTTCTAATCTTATTAAACTGCTTTCTTTTCAGTAATGTGGAGTCTAGCCCTTCTCAAGCTTTAGAGGTTTCTGGGTCAGAGAGCTTGAAAAGTGACAAGTATTATCTTACATCAGCACTGGCTGATGGTGTATTGCAACAAGTGGAGGTAACTAGCAAGTGTAGTTTATACCATAAACAGATTTACTATCTCTGTCTTCCACTCCTTGACTGTGTTGTCTGTTCTCCGTTAGCTGAGCAGCGAAGCTCCAGCTTCTCCCTCTGCAGTGGGCTCTCCCAGTCTCACTACGAAGAGGTTTTCCTGTCGAATCTGCATGGAGTCTTTCCATGGACGCTCGGACATGGAGAACCACAAGAGGGCGCACGTGGATGCCAATACTTTTAAGTGTCCTGACTGTGACTTCACCTCCACCTCCTGGCCTGAGGTCAAGGTGAGTCCTTCCCAACCCCAGATTTATCAGTGGAAAGTTGGCCAACGTTAGCTAGATTTTTCCACTGGAGGCAGTGAGGACAATTAAAATTGATAAACAGCTTCATATTAATATAAATGAGAGGTGTACACCCCCATATTCATTTAGTTTGACATTTATACTCTGAGCCATTTTAATGACATTTGAAAAACATCTCCCTCTAACTTTTGCTCCTTTGAATTGTGATTAACGTTCTGTTTTGTGTTAGACCCACATGGGACAGCACTCCTACCTGCGTCCTCACAAGTGTCCAAACTGCAGCTTTGCCTCCAAGAACAAGAAAGACCTACGCAGACACATGATGACGCACACCAATGAGAAACCATTTTCTTGCAAACTTTGTGGACAAAGGTGGGAGCATCTAACACATCTGTATTCATTAGGCATTAGAGGTACAGAACAGCTATTAATGTGAGTGTTTTTTGTTTTTTTAACTCAGGTTTAACCGCAATGGCCATCTGAAGTTTCACATGGAGCGTCTTCACAATCAGGATAATCCTGCTCGCAAAAGTCGAACTACTGCGTCTCAGCAAACTATAATAGTTAACAGCGATGAGGAGGCATTAGCCACACTACAGTGTAAGAAACGCAGGATCATACAAGCAAGACTTACAGTTTGTGCTTAAAAGTAATAATAACAGTAAACGCAAAGGTGTCAGTGGTCAAAAGTCCATAAACAGAGGCCTCAGTGTAAAACAGATAAAAAATGAACACAAAGTTAATATATTTTGATGTGTGTATGTGTGTGTACATCAGCCCTGCAGGGACATCAGGCAGTGATCACTCCCGAGCGGCTGCAGGCTCTAGGACAGGAGCACATCATTGTAGCTCAGGAACAAGCACTGTCAGACCAGGTAACAGCTCTCACACAGTACAGCCTATATGTATGTAGTGTACTCTCCAAAATGGATTGATTTTGCACGTGTAACTGCTAAACATTTGATAAATAAGAACCCTTAAATGTGCATTAAT